ATTAATCCAGTCACCGGAACGACGTATCAATATAATTAACTCCGAAGTAAAAGAATTAACTACACCTTCTTATTACTGTTTTGTTGCATTTTCAGAAGGAGAATTTGATTTGAACGTCAGAATTAACTATCCTAAGTTACTTGAATACTCAGCGTATGACATGTCATCCACCACATCCCTTACTAGTTATTCTAGTGAACAATTCGTTACGACTAACTCAATATGTTTCGTATTTACACCAGATTCAAGGCGCTCATCAGTTTCCTTTATATTTACAGTATCATCAAGGTATTCTAACCTTCCAAATCCTAAATTTTTATATGATGATACAAAAGAATCTTATTTGACCATAAATCCTGTCACAGTCGGCACCAAATTTGCTGATTACCCAGTATTAACTTATGGAGTTCACTCAGAGCTCATAACTTCCACTGTAAAGGAATTTAAAGTTGCATCTAAAAGTTACATCGTATTTACCAACTGGACAGGGCTTAGCGGAACCGTTTATTACGGACAATCTTCATTGGACATCCTTGGATACACAGGAGTTGTAGCAATTTTATTTATTCTACAGGAACTATGGAACTCAAGTCCTCTCTTGATTCATCTGAAGCAACATTTGTTGTACATTCACTTAAAGTTACTTGTAATGCCATTGTTACATTGTCTGGCAAAAAATCTTTCAAATTAGAACTCAAAGGAGGTTCCGATTATTGCATGGTATCAGCTTTCAAGTCAGGAGTGGTCAAAATAGAAGACAGCTCCAATACTCTTAACAAAGATTATTTATATAATAATACTCGATATTCTTTAGAAGAAAGTACAGTTCCTACCTTCACAATATTTAACCAGATCTATATATTCGGAGATGCATGGGTTAAATATACAATCAAGCCTTCAAAGACAGATAATTCCGAAAGTTACGTTCTTGAAGGTTATTCACCACCATATTCTTCATATTCTATCAGTAATAGGACATATGAACGCCTTAATACAGGTAAATGGGAAACACATAAAGGACTTTCTGGATTTGAAATATTTGTCATTGTTTTCTTTGCTCTTGTTGCATTTATTGGTATTGTCATATTATTAGGCATATGTATATACAAGATAAGACAAAAGACAAGGAATTTATTGAACCAATCAATTCCTTTAGAAGATAATGTAACAGAACGACCTTTAAACACTGTAACTACTACACGTAATAGTTATGAAAATGAAGTAAAGAATCAACAAGAACTAGAACCTCCTTCTCGTCCTCCACAACAAATTTATGCTGCTCCTCCTGAACAACAGCCTTATTATGCTCCACCTGTTTATTCAGGCTCAACAACCAGTTAATCCTTACCAACCACCACCTTCAGATTATGATAATCCTTATAATTAATTGTAAAATAAAAAATTAAAAATGCGATTTTTTTTTTATAATTTTGTTTTTGTTTTTACTCAAAAAATGATAATCAATACCACTGAATAATATATTGATTGAAATAATTTTATTAAATTTCAAACAATCATAATCAAGGAATAATTCATAGCCTATCATAATATGCACCAATAAAATAAATCATGGAAATAGAAAGATTCATGTTATATCCGAAATTTTCTCTAGCATTATGGCTGAAATCAACGCTTAGCATGATAATGATAAGCATATAACTAGATGAATATAAATTTCCAGATCATGTGGAAAATGTCATCAACGTTGCATTTTTTTAGAAAGGTAGTCCCACGAAGAATCTAAACGACAGATTTCCAAATAAATAGATAAATAGAATCAGTAGGCTCCAAATATGAATGATATGATTTAGTTTGAAAAGTTACTAAAAGCATAAAAAATTTGTGAATTACGTTTTAATTTCCATAATTTTTATCAATTAATTATCACGTTATGATTTACATATCAAATTTAATTTCAAATATAAGTAAATATCAATATTCATTACCGTTTTCCAGAAGTTGGGAACGTAGGGTATTTGTATTTCAAATTTAAGTATAATTGGAGTTTTTGAATAAAACCATAATATTCCCAGCTTACATGATTATAGTTTATTATGTAATATCCGGTTTATCAGGGAAATAATAGATTTGAATTCTTACTTTTGAGATTTGATAGAAAATAGTATAATGATAATGGATCACGACAGAATTATTTTATATTCAATAAACCATTTTGCGTAAATGGTGGTTCTTATCATCTATCAAATTTCGTAAGAAGTCTCTTAAAAATCTTGGAGTTCTTCAAGAAACGATCTTGTTCAAGATACATGTCGAGATGCTTTAATAAAATTAATCATAAATCGAAGCAAAACATCACATTTGTTAATAATTTCATGTAATATATAAAATTCAAGATTATAATGTCTACTGAATGCTAACAAAAACGAACAAAATCTCATCTCTCCACTAGATATTAATATGATGCAGTTTTTTGTTTAGATCTAATATAAAAATGAATAAAAACTTTACTTTTACACTTTTCATTCAAGTTATTTACTAATATAGATCATGCTTTATCAATGCTTAGTACTATTCTTTTTAGAATAAAGGATAATAAGAAAGATATTTGTGATTTAAAATAATTTTTTAAAATTCACCTTTAACTCATCACTCTGTGAGATGTAAAAAGCATTCGCATTACTCATTCTGCTTAATTGATCAACTCAAAATTCCAAAAAAATTTCAATAAATCAAAAATGAGAATCAAAAATTTGATTTTTCTCTTGAAAAAATCAATTTTCAAAAAAATTTGGAAAATCAAAGTATTGTATAATTAATCAAATCATCAAATGGAATCGTTTTTATTCATAAAAAACATCTAATTTTGATTTGGAAATCATATTTATTAAAAACTCATTCTATAGTTGATGCAATGTCATGATTGCTGTTGAAAATATTATTTCCATAACAAAATTCTTATTTAAGATAGTAAAATAATAAAGTTTTATTTTCAACAACAACAAGTAAATAGATGAATGGAAACGTACTACATTCGCATAAATGTAGTAACTATCGTCGATATTTGAGTTATGACTATTCCAATCAAAATGTATAAAATTGAAATCAAAAATATCAAACAATTATATTCGGTACTGTGCACACATTATAGAGGTCATCGTAATTTATATGTAATTTATATCTAAAAGCCGACTTTTTTTTCTTATTGCAATAATTTTCTCAAATTTAGTAACTTTTTCTATGTTCAAGTTATTTGAATATGTATCATAAGCGACGTAAGAACTCAAATTACGAGGAATTCTGTTGTTGCATTTTCGAGATGCAAAATTTCGATTTTTAATATGGGGATGGGGATTTGGCAGGTGCAATCTTGATGTTATCTCCATGTAGAAGTACTGTTGCAATATAATTAAAATTAACGAAGTTGATTTTAAATTGCATAATGCTGGAGAATAACTGACAATACAACTAAGTATACTATATAAGATAGTTGCTAATTGGAGTAATAAATTAGGCTCCACCAATCATTTCTTTCATCTCTGCCATAACGAGCAGAAAAGAAGCGAACAGTAACCCTAGGAAAAAAGAAGAAGGGTGTCACTTTTCGTGGGACTACCTTTTTTTAGTAAATTAATATTTCCCACCATATGTTGGAAATTGAGACGGAGTTGATTCTTGAAATATCTTAAACAAAATTTACAACTATTTAATTTTTCAAGCACCACTCTTAATCGAATTTTAAAATTTATCCATATTAATAGATATGTACACACAAATATTTTTTCGGAATTTAAATTTTTGAAAGCTCAAAAATTTTGTAGTTGAGTATTTTAATAACCATATAATGAGCATGATCATGATAAATTGTTTTTGAAAAAAATAATTCAGTATTGAATTATCCTCTTTTTCAGAATTTCATTTTATATTTATGTTGTTATTTTTAGTTACTCAGTGTCTCAGCTACGAATTCATCACAAATTTAGCCAGCTCATACCTTGAGTTCTCCAATGGCAAAGCCGATTTTAAGCTCGGTTATGAGCCTCTTTGTGGTTATTCTTATTATCTTATCTTATCAAATCCTGATGACAATTTGACACTAAATTTTGAAAAAGCTAAACAAGTATACAAAATTGCTCCAGCTACATACTATAGTTTTAGGAGCAGCAAGAAATATAATTTGCAATATGATCTAGTTCTTATTCCAGATGATTGCGATACTCTTGAATTCATAATTAATCCACAGAATAGAGAAGATTCTAATTACGAATTTGCAAGTTCTCAAATAAATCCATCTAAAACGTATTGCTTTGTAGGGTATAGTGATGCTGCTTTTACTGTAAGGGCTACTAATTCAGGAGGCTAATTTTCCTATGCTTCAAATAACTTTTACCAAAGTAATACACTTTATTCCGGAAATTCGTACAGTTCGTATTCTTCGACAAATTCTTTCATAGTTAAATACACTCCTAGCACTTCATCTTCCTCAGCCAACGTCAAATTCATTAAATATAGAACATCAACCTCCGATACAGTTCTCCTTTACGACCAGAGCAAGGGATCGTTTTTTGCTACAACATCTGTAGATACTAATCCTCCAATATATCCATACGTTTACCCAGGATATTTTAGTTATCATTCCTATAATAGCACAGGAGAGTTAAATATTACAGCAGGTACATATATCGTATTCACAAACTGGAAAAACGTTGAAAGCAAGGTCACAAGTGGCAGCACAGAGTTTAATATTCTCGGAGATACTAAAATCGTGGCAGTTCTCTTCAATTCTACAGGAAAAATACAACTTACAGGCAGCTCAGCGTATGCAAGATATATTGCCTATGAAATGCCCAGTAAATGCCATTATATCGTTACATTATCCGGAAATGAGTCTTTCAAATTGAAACCTGGTGATACATTTATATCATGCATTGTATCAGCATTCGAATTTGGCGAGGTCAAATTTTCATCAAGTGACATTAGTAATATGTACAATTACTTTTACGATGGAAGTAGTATAGCATCTAAATATTCTATCTCCTTAGATGCTTCTTATTCACAATTTTACAATATATATTTTTTCTGGAGACGAGTGGTTCCAACACGAAATTACTACATACGATAACGATACATCCATTAGCTACAAGATCAGTGGAAAGTCGCCAAAGTACTACTCATATTCAGTCAGCAATAGCTCCTACCGTAAAGTTAACAGTGGTGAATGGTCGAGTAGCGGATTTCCAGTCTGGGCCATTGTCATCATTGTCATTATTGTTTTGATTGTTGTTGTTGCTTTAGTATTTGTTTGTTGCCGCTTCTGCTGTAGAACTGCTGACAGAGCATTTTCTAGTTCTAGCTCTTCTAGTTCAAAGAAGCATAGCAGACAAACAACAACCACAACCATTTATGTCCAACAACAATCAGCGCCATCATATTCACCACCACAAAATCCATCACAACAAAGTTATCCATCACCTTATCAACAGCAACCACAACAAAGTTATCCATCACCTTATCAACAGCAACCACAACAAAGTTATCCATCACCTTATCAAGAGCAAACACAACAAAGTTCTCTAACACCATATCAACCTCCACCACAACAGTGCCCACCTCCAGAATATGTACCAGGAGAATATACACCATCTTCTCAAGGAGGTCAAACACAACCATATTATCCACCTCCATCACCACAAAATTATTCACCTAATCCTTATCAATAAAAAATCTATTTGAATTTTATTTCTTTGTATGAAAACTAATTAGTTTTTTTTTTTTATCCAAAAACATTGCAAATCAATATGTATCCATATAGACTAATGTATTTACTTACACTGCATGAAAGCGAATCGATCTCTGGAAGCATCTCTCATCTCACAATATTTGTGTAACAGACGAGCTACATATGAAAATGTATTTGAGACTTGGTATTAAATAAAAATCAGGAAATATATAAATACATTGGTAGTTTTTGCAGATATGATATAATAACAAATAAATTTTCATTTTGTTTCATAATCTCAAGATTCCACGGGTTAAAAATACTACATATTCTTACCATACGACTCATTTCATCTCATATTTGCTCTAAAATATCTGTCAATCATATGTAAATATACCAGAAACGGTCCTAATTTCTTTCTTGCAAAATTATTCATAAAAATTAACCATTAACATTTCTAAATTAGCCTCGATTCCTTCACATGTTCAATAAAGACATCAAAAGATTATCCAACTAACGAAATAAATGGAAATTTTTATGGAAACATCCGATATAATTGACAGAAAATGCAAATAATCGTCATCGTCGAAATTATAACAACAAAAATCAAATTGTAATGTAATTTTACAAATTAGACATTTCATATTTTATCGTTGTTGGAGAACTCAAAATTTTTTTTTCAAACGCCGTTGGGAAAAAACTCCAAAAAATTTATATGTTTTCCTTATTTGTAGCTTCAAGTTTAAGTAACAGAGTTGAAGTTCCAGATGTAGGAGCTTACTACAGTTCCTTTTCATCATTAGCACTTGAAATGACGTTCAACTTGAGATCTTATTCTGGTTATACACATTATCTTCTTTTATACAACCCATACAGCGATTTAACTCTTAATGGAGAGAATGCTTCCTCAAGAGTATACAGTATATCAACAAAGATCTTTAAATTTGAAAGTCGAACCGCTTCTACTCTTTATTTTGACGTTGTTCGTATTCCAAACTCATGCTATACATTGGATTTCCTTTTGGATCCAGAAGTTAATTCAGAATACGAATACTCACGTGCTAAGAAACTTTTGAATTTCGAAAAATCATATTGTTTTGTTACTTACAGCCATAATACCTTTAATATAACCATCACAAACACTGATGGAAAAATGAAGATTGGCACTACTTCTTTATACGATTATGACACAACAACTGCTGATGAAGGCGATACTTCTTATTACAACACAAAATCTTTCGTTGTAATGTACAAACCAGATAATTCAGCTACATCCAAAGCCAAGATCAAATTTACTGGCTCCTCAAGTACAAAACAAGATCCAACTCTTATTTCAGACAAAAAAATTTCATCATACTTTGGTGCAAAAGCTGTAGATACAACACCTCCAGAATACAAAAGTATCGACTACGGCATCCATATATATAGTGATTCATCAAGATACAACGTCTATAATATCACTTATAATACATATATTGTCTTCACACATTGGAAAGATGTTTCAGCTGTTGCAACAGTTTCTGGTACTACACTTAATATCCTTGGCAACACAAACATTGTTTCAGTTTTCTTCAACTCAACAGGCACACTTACTCTTTCCAGAAATTCATCAAGGAGCACTGCTACATTTGTTGCATATTATATGCCAAGCACATGCCATTACATTGTCACATTATCTGGTGAATCATCATACAAATTCGACACAGATGGCAGCGCCATCAAATGTATGGTTTCCGCCTTCAGTTCGGGCAGTGTTAATATTGACAAAGGTTTCTGGGGTGAATTATCCACATACAATTATGATGGCACATATTCATCATCATCCAAACCATTGTACTCAGTTTTCTACAACACATTCTCATCTGAGCATGAATACTTCAAACATGATATTTCGACATACTCCAGTGATAACTCCTATGCATATGTCATCAAAGGCAAATCACCAGAATATTTATCATACTGGATTGACAGTTCATCATATAACAAGATCAACAGCGGTGAATGGTCTAGCAGCGGTCTTGCTGGTTGGGCTATTGCTCTTATTGTTATTGTTGTTATCATTGTTATTGCTGTTGCCATTACTATTGTTGCTATTTGCTGCTGTGCCTGCTGCTCGGTTGTCAACAGAGCTCTTACAAGTTCTAGTTCTAGCTCTAGCTCAAAGAAGAAGAGAAATACAACAAACACAACTCTTCTTGTCCAACAGCAACCATACCCACCACAACAGTACCCACCACAACAAAGTTATCCACCACAGGGATATCCTCCACAACAATATCCTCCACCATCACAAGGCGGCCAACCACAACCATATGGTTATTATCCACCACCACAACAATATCCACCACAAGGCTATGCACCAAATGGCCAAGTTCCACCTCCTCCAGCCGATCAACCAAATCCTTATGCTTAAATTTTAATATAATTTTAAATTATTTAAATAATGACAGTCTAAAGATTTTTTTGTGAATGATTTTTACATTTTTTATTGAATTTATAATAGAATGGTCCATTTCTCATGGTATTTGATGTATAGTAATGAGATCATATAAATTATACATTTATTTTGTTAATAAAATACAGATAATGAAATTAGATCTTTCTTTTTAATATTTCAAATTTGTGAATTTTAGAATTGAAATCTGAAGAAAAATGATATAAGGTAATAACTGGTAGATGGCATCTTTTTCATACTATTTCAAAATCGCAAGAGAGCTTAAGTGCATCCGTAATGCAAAGGTTTCATTTATTTGAAACCTGTTTTTCAATTTTCGGTGGCATTTATCATTTGAGCAACCATATTTATCATGCATTCAAGTAAGGCTTCGAGTTCCCTCTCAAATTTTTGTGCCCACTCAATTCTTATGTGACTTTGGGCGACTCTATCTTGCCATAAGAAGAGTTTAAGGATTCACTATCTATAGTAATATGTACCAACATTGACTGGCGAGTATAATTAATATATTTTCATTGAATAAAATTAATACAGTATCCTTGGGAAAAGGAATTTTAGAGCCCACAAAAATTATCCATGTGATGTCTTAACAAACAATAACATTGAATTTTATTACACCTATTTGGATCCTTATATGCTCACAATGCTTTTATGCTAATCGAATCTTATCCATCATAAGTTTTTGATAATCAAACAAAAAGTGCCAATCCTTTGTAAAACTTCCGATAAAACAAAATGCATTCAATTTTTATAGTAAATAATGTTAATGTCGAAGTTATGTAGAACATAATTTAAATATAAACTTTTTGAACTTTTCAGAGCGCGGTTGCTAAGTTTTTTCAAAATTTTATATGCTATCCTTTTTCACCGCTCTTAGTTTAGCTAAAGCTTCAGTTTCACGTACTGGACGTTTTTATGCAGACTTTGATGGAAACACACTTGAACTCACCAACAAACTATCTCCTTATTCGGGCTATTCATATTATATTCTTATTAACAATCCACCAACAGATTTACTTCTGAATGGAGTTAAAGCATCCTCAAGGTTATATAATTTTTCATCAAAAACCTATGTTTTCCAAAGTTCCAAAATTTATAAATTATATTTCGACATTGTCGAAATTCCTGACTCATGCACTACCCTTGATTTCGTTCTACAGCCAGAAAATTCTGTATACGAGTACTCACCTGCCTTAGGCGAGCTAGCCACCTCAAAATGGTATTGCTTTGTTGCTTACAATCCAGAAGGTTTCGCTGCATCCTTCAATATCACAGCAGGCACATTGGATTATGCGAAAAGTTCTTTGTATACCGCAACATCTATTCGTACAGATGGTGGCACAAAAGCATATACAATTACAGGTTCATTTGTTGCAAAGTTTAAACCAGATAACACAGAAACTTCCAAGGTCAGTATCAAGCTTGTTCCTTCTTCAACTTCCACCCCATCAACCCTCGTTCTTACAGATCAATCACATACATCATACTTTAATGCAACAGCCGTAGATACAACAGTTCCTCCATACATATTCATCGACTACGGCATCCATACAAATAGTTATACTTCAAGTAACACAGTTTACAATATCACTTATAATACATATATTGTCTTCACACATTGGAAAGATGTTTCAGCTGTTGCAACAGTTTCTGGTACTACACTTAATATCCTTGGCAACACAAACATTGTTTCAGTTTTCTTCAACTCAACAGGCACACTTACTCTTTCCAGAAATTCATCAAGGAGCACTGCTACATTTGTTGCATATTATATGCCAAGCACATGCCATTACATTGTCACATTATCTGGTGAATCATCATACAAATTCGACACAGATGGCAGCGCCATCAAATGTATGGTTTCCGCCTTCAGTTCGGGCAGTGTTAATATTGACAAAGGTTTCTGGGGTGAATTATCCACATACAATTATGATGGCACATATTCATCATCATCCAAACCATTGTACTCAGTTTTCTACAACACATTCTCATCTGAGCATGAATACTTCAAACATGATATTTCGACATACTCCAGTGATAACTCCTATGCATATGTCATCAAAGGCAAATCACCAGAATATTTATCATACTGGATTGACAGTTCATCATATAACAAGATCAACAGCGGTGAATGGTCTAGCAGCGGTCTTGCTGGTTGGGCTATTGCTCTTATTGTTATTGTTGTTATCATTGTTATTGCTGTTGCCATTACTATTGTTGCTATTTGCTGCTGTGCCTGCTGCTCGGTTGTCAACAGAGCTCTTACAAGTTCTAGTTCTAGCTCTAGCTCAAAGAAGAAGAGAAATACAACAAACACAACTCTTCTTGTCCAACAGCAACCATACCCACCACAACAGTACCCACCACAACAAAGTTATCCACCACAGGGATATCCTCCACAACAATATCCTCCACCATCACAAGGCGGCCAACCACAACCATATGGTTATTATCCACCACCACAACAATATCCACCACAAGGCTATGCACCAAATGGCCAAGTTCCACCTCCTCCAGCCGATCAACCAAATCCTTATGCATAAAATTAAATTATAAAATTTCTCTTTTTAAATTTTAGATGCAATTTTTCTATGATAAAATATGGGTTCATGTTATCTCTAATTCAATTTGAGTTAATTTTCAGAGATTCAATTTGAACAAATTGAATTTTTTGTACAGTTGATTTGAGGTAATATGATTAAACTTGCATGAATGAGTACTTAATTACTAATTTTAAACTTATATTTATATATTTACTAATCTTGTTATAAACATATATTAAAGACCTAGTACTATCCATATATATTGAAGTATCAAATTAACTGGTACAAAATGAGCAAGGAATCATGCACCTTTAAGTTATTGACCAACATATTAAATGAATAAATGTATCATTAGTAATATTTCTTTATTGAAATACGATAAAACCTTTAATGAGTTCGTAACCAGTTTATAGCTGCTTCAACAAAAGTCATTGTTATAAATTAAAAATGACAGGAAGTTTTATTGGAATTCCTCATATCTTGATATTTTTTGCGTAAACACAGCAATTGAACTCTTATATCGATTGCCATAAAACCGATTATTTAGAATTTTGAAAGAAAAATAATTTTTTCAATTCCCTGTCGTAAATCCAATTTAAATAGTCATTAATTATACAGATTAATCCATGATATTTTTATTTTATTCAAAATCAAACCTTCACAGACATTCATGACTAAATTCTTTAGGCATTTAATGTTGTCGTCAAATCGAAAGCTCTTTAACAATTCAATGAGAACATTTAATACTTTCACTAATGAGGCATCTACTGTAGAATTTATATATTGCACCGTTCCATCATTTATGATGGGAACTTTACTTATTGTAATGAATGGGTCATACGTGTTAAAAGTATCGAAATCAATGACTTTTTTAGTTTTTCCATCGTCAATGACTAAATCATTGCCTTCAATGGTTAAAGTTGAGTTTTCGTTTACTAGTTCATGTGCTCTTCTTGCTTCATTTGTTTCATACGCATATGCAGCAATAGTCATATTTTAATGAGAATAAAATGTTGTTCTATTTGCAAAGTACAGACCCAAACGAATACGGGACAGTAAAGCTACAAACAAACTTAGGTCTACAGAATGAAGCGCTTGCTTTCAGAGTTGTTGACTTCAATACTATCGCAACTTTTGTCATAACAGATGAAACAGATTTCATAGAGATTGAAATAGATGACAAAAGAAGTGTTATAACATTTCCTAACAGAGCTGGGTATAGAATAGATAAAATTGCTGGAGTCATAGATACTCTCATAAATGAAGAAACTATTGACAACATAGATGTCGAACTCTCTTCTGAGGGAACATTGAAGTTCAGCAGCGAGAATGAGTTTAAGATACCAAGAATGAGTCATAGAGTACAACTTCTTTTGGGTGCATACCATATGACATTTCCTTTGAAAAGTGTTGACAAAACGATTGAGATGAAATCTGTTCCATACGTATGTTATGGTAATTGTTTATACATTGAGTCTAAAATAGCTAATGTCACAGGCATTTCAGGAGTTAATAGTAAAGGTTCAGTAGAATATAAATCCTTCTGTTATGCAGTCAATTCAATGTTCATTCCAAACGTTCCTGTCATAGCAACTCATTTAGGTAAATGGGTTCGCATTAGTCCTCATAATTTGAAAGACATGCAATTTAGACTAGTTGACTTTCAAGGCGAGCCTGTAGAACTGAAGGCACCAGTGCGAATGACTGTTGAAGTTGACTTTTTAGAAAATATTAAATGCAACAGCTTACAAGAGAACTCAGAGCTAAAAATATAAAGTATGAATGTTATGTATTAGGTCATGAACTTTGGTTGTTGCTGTTTGATGAAACAAATGAGTTAGTTATGTCAGTCAAGAGAACAGAAAAATATTGTGTTAGTGAAAACTGCACCAAGTCAATAAGATTAGGTTTGCATTATGAAGATGAGTTCGATACTGTTGAAGAAGTTTTGGATAGATATTACAAATTGCTAACTTGAAATTTTTTTGACTGACGGCGCAAAGCGCCAAGACCGAAGGTCCTGACTGCTTTAATTTACTAAAACATATTTCAAACAAAGTTTATATTCTGTTGAAAGTTTTGTATATTCATTCGAATATTTATACTTAAACTCAACTCCTGTAGTTCCTGGTGTTTCAATGATGCGGATGTTACCTATTTTCATGAATAGTGGAGTTTGACCACAGCATTCGATTTCAGGGTCGAGATAGTCAATGACACATTGTTTCCCTGTTATTCGTGAGATAACATTTTCAAGGTCCTCCTTTGTTAGAATTATTTGGTTCTTGCTTATAAGATTTGTCAAAAGCTTCTTATCGTCTTTGAGTAAAATTGTTTGGTATAACTGAAGAAGGTAATGGTCTACGTTATCTGAAGGATTTGTTTGAACATTTGTGTAAGGGTTGTCGTTGGCTTCTCTTGAAAGAATTTGGTCCAGTGGTGGATACTCTAACTTAACATCTGATGTAGCGTTAGCGTTTGAAGCTGAGTTTAAATTCACCGACTTAAGTTCTGGTTCTGGCTCTTTCAAACACTCTGAACTATAGTTCTTTATGACAATATTGTTTGTCGTTCGTGAGTCAACATTTGATGTTGGTTCAATTGGAACATTAACGGCACCAGCTAAGATGGATTTGCTTCTCATTTCATATAGAATAAAAACCTTTTATATGTATGAAATGAACAATATACTCGACAAGGGTTTGAATGTAAAGCTAACGAATGAAAATATTGTTGAATTCACTGAGACAGGTGCTGTGTATAAAGATGTAGAACTACTGAACAAAAGAGCTAAGGGAAGAAGCAGGAACATGAACAAAGGGTGGAAGCCTATAAAAATTTATGTCAATGATGGCTCAGGAGGTTCAAACATAAAGTATGCAGAAAGTTATAGAGTTTATGCTCTCAAAGGTGAAAAGCCTTCATTTAAGAACAGCTATTCTAACGCATATCCTCAAAAGCTAACGGATGGGGAAGTGGATGATATGAATGACAGCAAAAATATTAACAGAAATGGCGACAGAGATGCATGGAATTTGTTTACCATCAGTCAATTGAAGGTTAAACTTTAAAACAATGTTGGTCGTTCCCATGGAATATTTTTGACTTTAATGGTATTAGTCATGATATGAATCTCAAGGTATGAACGAGGAGAGATGAGAGACTTATATGCTTCCCAAATTTCTTCAAAAGGTAATGTTATACCTGACTGTTTCCAAATGAGTTCAATATCATAACGTGAGAAACCTTGAAAGATAACGAAGTCAGTTATGAGACGTTTTATGTTTAAAGCTAAAAACCTCCATGTTTGCATAAGTATTGCTACAGTTAAATGGTAATGTCTGACTTTAGTAATGATGTTAGCTAATGGTGAGTCTGGCTTTGAAACTAAACCTTTACCAGCGAAGTCGTCACAAACTAATAAAGTGTTTGATGGATATTTTTTGAAGGGGTATTTTGAAAGTTTTGATAGAATGTAGTTTGTCAGTCGTTTCATATCGTAAACTCCTGAGTACTGACGTAAGTGGTGTTTGTCAATAATTCTTTCCATCTCCTCAGAAGTCTTTTGCATTCCTGACTGTATAAATTCAACGATGGCATAATATTTCCTCTTACGTAGTTAGTATGGTTATCTTGGGTACGGCGGCACTGCGTTCCACCTTACCCAATATAACCTTAAATATTTACAAAACCGCGAACGTATATTTTACAACACAAACGACAACACTAACTTAACCTTAAATATTTACAAAACCATCTGACACATAAATGACTTCACTAATGAAAAATAAACGTTCTCACTAACGTTCCCACTAATGTTCTCATTTACAAAAGTATTGCAGCGCTTCCCATTGCTGTGCTTCACACAATAGTTCATATTCTTCAGTATCGCTGCTGTCACTCCAATCGTCAGAGTCAAAGTCACTGTCAAAATAAATGTTAGTAAGTTTTGACAAAGCTAATGAAACACGCTTACCGTTTGTATCTATTGCTTTTATATATCTCCCATTATGTTTGTTGTCATAAACGCTCAAACTAACTTTACCCTTTCTCCCTCGTATCTGATAGAATGTATTTTCACGAGGAACGAAGAACAAATTCTTGAACTCATGACCGTTGTAGTTTGTTATCTCAATAGTTTTCGTCATTTATATAAAAATAAAATAAAAAATAAAATAAAAAATAAACTTAAAATTAATGATATCACCACCCTCACACGTATGAAAACATAGCACAAAAATAAATTTAGGGTAGAAGGGTAGATCTAACCTCATTTCTACCCTCAGCCGCTAAGCGGCGAGACCCTTTGGGTCTTTTCTACCCACTTGAATTCATTGCTTTATAACTCTCTTCCTTTCTCCAACTCTTCTAACTTCTTCTTAAGTTCAGCAATGTTGTCCTCATGAAGTTTAATCTTCCTTAATATACCTTCTCTATCTAATGGTTGCTTTATCTTTCTAAACTGAACTCTACCATCCTTCATAGTATGAACGTAAAAACCTTCTGGAACCGCTCCTGATTTAATGTATTCTACCAAAAATTTTTGTTTCATTGCTTCAGTGACTTTAGTCGTCATTTTACTCTAAATAAAATGTTCAAATAAAATAAAAATAACGTTATTTTTTCAGTAAGGAAACGCAGGAGTTTTACGATTTATTTGAGGAGTAGGTTCTGGTTTAAATGTTGGAGTCGGTTTAGGAGTTGACTTTTGAACAGGAGTTTGTACTTTCATAGGTTCAGGAGTCATTGAAGGTGTTGTTTGTGAAGGCGTTGGTTTTGACGTTGGTTTTGGCGAATGTGTTGGAGTTTGTTTAACTTCAGCTACTTCAGTATTATTTACAACATTTGCTTTATTTCTTTTCAACATCATTACTGCTCCTGCTGTAGCTAGCAAACCTAGTGGGAGACCATATTTTATATAAGGACTTGACCAAATGCTATTTTTGACAGGAGCTGGTGGAACACCTAACCTTGGTGAAACTGCTCTTTGCCATTGTGCAGCTCGTAAGAAATATTCAATAGGTGCTCCATAATCGTTTGGTAAAGTTTGTTTCATAGATGGTGAAGGTTCGCGAGAGCTTGATGAAGAACTCATTTATAAGCTTTAAAAATAAACGTTCATCCTTTATTCCTCACTGTCGTCCGTAGCTAAGTTATAGTCATCTAATCTTATTATTGGGATGCCATTAGCACGCACCTGAATGGCAAAGCAACAATCCCTCATAAATCCAATAAGTGGCTTTGGTACATTTTCAGTTGCTAGTTCAATAGGTCCTTTAACAGACAATTTGTATGTTATTGGAGCAGTAGATGTTTGACCTTGCTGGAAGCAAAAGTCCACTTCTGTTGGAAAACCACATAAGAAATGTGTGTTGTCATAGCTATCCCATTTATGTTCCACACTACCATCATCCACCAATGACCTCATAACATCTTCATTAAATCCAATCATATCATTGTTTGTATTGCAGGCGTTCGCAACCATTTCATAAAATACAGGTCCATATGATTTTTCGGGTTCTGCAGGCATATTTCCATAAGCTCCCATGGAAAGCTGAAGATATTTAAACTTAGGGTTCTCAAAATTAACATAATAGTTGTCTTTCTTTCTAAATAGTGCCCAAATACTTTTAACATTAATAGGCGTATAAGCTGCTGTAAATGTTGCACTTGAACTATCTGTATTCTTTGAGAATGAACCGTCCATAGGAATCCAATCCATAACTTTAACAGGAAAACATAAAGCCTCGTTTGTATAATGTTCTACAAGTTCTGTATAAATGTTAGGGTCTAAAGAGAATGACTTTGGATGAATGAAACATTCATTAAAATCCATCTTTGTTCGAAATAGTTGCTGGTTTACAGTTGTAATAGTAACTGTTCCACTAGCTTCTACTGCCTTCGTTATCATAGTGAATGGTTCATTCCATGGAACAAATTTATTTGTCGGTGGATTTGAATCTGAAGCAAATGCAACTTTAAGAGTTGGATTGAAAGCAATGATATCATTTACAGATATAGATGTGCATTGTAAGGCGTCGCTACTGAACTTTACTTTAAGCTGAATGTTTCCTGCAAAAGCTGGAATAAATCGAATAGCTTCTAATGGAAGGAATCTTCTAACAGGAATTCTTAAACGAAGCTTAAAATCAAATGATTTTCCTGCTGTAATTGGACCACTAACAATTTGTCCTGTTCTGCATGTTCCCGAATGACTCCATACATCTTCATGTCGAGTCTTTGAGAAAACATCTACTTTCTTTATTTGTTCGGTAGTTTGTGAGTTTGAAGTTATATATGCTTCTTCTCTTGCGTTGTCTTGAGAATATACGATACGACCATTTGCAAGGATTTGATATCCAGCAACTGCATAGAAAGCGTCATCGAAACCAATCCAAAATCCTGGTGGGTTTGTTTTATTGGAACCTGAACCAATTTCTTTATCTGCAATAAATTGACCTTCCATTTTATACGTAATGAATGTATTGTAAAGGTCCAACATATTTTCACCAGGAGGTGAGAGATTGAATGTTACCCATGTGTTATCTTTAGCAGTTCCAGGTTGTGATGGAATCTTTGCGTCAGAATATTTTCTATTAGTGTCACCAATTTGAACTGCATTGTCTATGATATCGAAATATGAGCGAATCTGATGAATATGCTCTGCTGGAGTAAATTCGTTTAACTGTTCGTTCTGCATGTATTTACTTCAGATAAAAATATCTATTTACTTCATTATTCTCACTCTTCTTCTTGGCATTCGTGGTGGAAGTTGTTTCTTGACATTTTCAATGAACTGTACATTCTCTTTTGTCTCAACTTCTTTCACTGGTGGGTCAGGATTCTTTGACTCGGTTTGTTTTTCAATGAAATTCACGAACTTTGCAATAAGCTCTTGGTTCGTTATTGAAAGAACATCTGGCTTCTTTTCTTCTGGTTCTATTGACTTTTCAGTTTGAACAGAAGGTTTTATATGGGCTTCGTGGACTTCACCCTTGCCATGCACCTTAATGTTGTCGCTCTCTGCATTTGCTAATGGAACCTTTCTTTTTCTTACATATATTTTACCATCTTTACTCTGACTTACATAATAGAAAGGATGTTGTATTCCTCTTGCGTCATTTAATATAATAGACTCTCGCTCTGATTTTGACAAGCTCATTTTACATCGGTTAAAGTTTTAATTTAGTTTTTTATCTGCAATCAAATGACTCAGTCAAATCCTACGGACAAGACCCAAGGTGTCATAGATGTTGAAGCATTGAAGAAAGAAATTCGTGAGCAAATTTTATCCGAACTGAAGGAACAAAAACCAGAACAAAAGCCAGAGAGACCAAAGAGAAAACTTAGTGAAAAACAACTAGCTGCATTAGCTGCTGGAAGACAGAAGAACCCAAGACTACTGGCAAAGAAAGCTAGAGAAGAAGCAAAAGCAAAGGAAGAACAAAAAGCAAAGGAAGCTGAAGCAAAGAAAGAGTAAATGGTTTATTTTTATCCGAATTAAATGTATAGACAAATACCTTTATCTGTTGCGTTCAGTAGTGAAAACCCTGACGTCAAAATAAAGGGGAACAGAGTAACGTTTAAGTTTCCAACAGACTGGATTGTGAACATAAATGAAGAGAAGTACATTGGCATAACATCTATGTATATAACACGTGCTTTCAGAAAGGTTGACTTTATACTTCAAGTCGAGATAGAAAATGACGAACAGTCTTTAAGCGCCCAAAACATTCACATATACAAATACTTTAAAGACGATACAACATTGTTGCAATGTATGATTTCATTTAATGAGATGTTCGAGAAAAAGTTCAACATTGAAGTACAAACTTTACAGCCTTTACGTGAGTTTCTTGCACAACTGAAAGAAGAAGGTAGTCAGCCACAACTTATAGACTTTCATTATGAATTTAATGAAAATGAAGATGGAACTCATGACTGTCAATTCATTGTATTCTCACCATTCAATGAAGTCGCTAAAGAGAAAAAAAATCCATTACGTATAAGGTTTCAAATCTCCGAACCAAGTGATGATTTTAAGAATGTTTTCAATTATGATGCAATGCTTCCGAGGAAAAATGAATTTTCAAAGATTGTAACACCTGGCATTTGGGATAGAAAGCAAGCTATATTATATTCAAACTTAAGTAAGGGAGTTGAAAATGAGTTCATTGGTCATACAAGAACTTCACCACTTCCTAACCCTAAATACTATAAATTAACTGGCTTCAATCGTGAGTTTTGGATAGACATGTTCTCCACTCATGACCATAAATGTCCAGTGTTCTTACCTCCAGACCATAAGGACTGTCTCTACATTGAAGCACAACTCTTAAACTCTACCATCGCAGTATTGTAAAATCTACGCTAGCTTTATTTTTATCACGAATGACCTCATTCATGACCTCATTCATGACCTCATTGCTGACAAAAATAAGCCGCTAGCGGCAAGGGCGAAGCCCATGACCTCAGAACTTCAACTTACGAATAAAGCTTGTTTTAGTCGTTATTGAAAAGTTGAACTTTTCAGCAAAGCAAGGTTGACATGACTTACATAAGTCGAATGCAATCTCTTGACCATCATAAAGTGCTTTGTAAAGTTTCATTAAACTGAACTCAGAGTCTTTGTCATATGTTCCAACAGGTATGTGAATGTTCTTATCTTCATTGTAATAGCATTGTATAGCTTCAGGAAACATTTCATTAGCGGTTAAAGCAATAACATCTTGCTTCACGCCTTTCATTCTGCAGTGAAATGCAACTTCATTTAAATCATTCGTGAGTAAGTCTATGTAGGTCTTCTTTCCACAGAAAATACTTTTATAAGCTAAACTTTGTTTTCCAGGTGTTATTTCTGCAAAGTCGCTATGAAATTGACCAAGGTTCTTTCCTATAAGTTCTCTACCGTATCTCTTCTTAAACTCTGCTGCAAGCTTTGGGATGTCTTCATTATATAAGTGCATACTGTCGGTATCCTGGTAAAAGATTTGAAGTCCCATGTCCTCTGCAGTACAGAATACTTCATTCATAATACGTTTTGACATAGACAGAATATTAACACCAAGTGGACAGAAGTTAAAGTGTCTGCAAATGCTTTTCGTTAGCTTGAAAATAGTTTTATCTGAACCATCCAAACCTTCGAACTTCACTATATGGTTGTAATTTCTTATAGCATATCTTATAGCATCTTTGTCATTTACTATGGTTATTTTTGACTCAATAGGAGATAGAATAGTTTTGCCATAAATGCTGTTCAGAATGAGTTTTATAATTTCTTGTAAGGGGTTTCCTTCTTTCTTATACTTTAACCTTAACTCAAACAACTTCTTTACTTCATCTCTTATTCTCATATCTCTGTTTCCATCGTAATAGTATCCTTGCAACACTTCACATTTGACACCTTGATATTTTATGAGGTCTTGTAATGTTATATGGTCAACATGCATGAGACAGCAAGTGTTTGAACTTCTTGGAACGTTAAGTTCTGGATTTAGTTCAGGGTCGCAAACTATTAAATGAAAGTGTCTGGGTATACCAATCTCTGTTATCTTAATGAGAACAAAGAAGCCAGACATAAACTTTTCACCAATGGGTTCCTTTTGGTCATCATCGAATAAATGTCTCATGAGATACTCTGTGCTTAACATTTCTTCCTTCAATACTTTTGGAATACCTTCTAAAGTATAAAGTCTTGCTATAGCTGAAGGATATAATGAAACAGTGTCGAAGTCAGCAATGAGTTTCTTTTTGCTCTTTTGTTTCATGTTATCTGACAACATACATCTTCCACCTTGAATGCATCTCGAAATAAATTCTCTTGGTTTATTTGAGAGGTCATAAAGATTTCCATTCGGGAAGTATACTCTGTTCTCAAACAATTTGTTAGCAATTGAACAAATACTAACGTAGTCATAAACGTTTAAATCAAACTCTTTCAATAAGTCATTGCGGAACTTTACAAAACCTTCTCTTAAAATTCTTACATCTTGTTTGCAGTAAAACGTGCTATATTTTTCTAAGTCGAAGTGGTTCTCATCTATTCTGCAACCTTTGATGGAATCTATGTTCTTCATAAATGTATCTGCATCATGGATAAACTTACATGCTTCAGAAATGACACCAGTTCTGTTGTCATTTGCTAACAAAACACTGCTGTAGTAGTTATATGGAAATACTTCTTTCGGTCCTGTTTGTAAGTTAAACATAGCAGGAAATAGTTTAAGCTTCTTATTTATAACACTGTAAGAGTCTTTTATAATAATTGCCCGTCCTTTATATAAGCCAGTTATTTGCATTGTTCGTGAACCTTTAATGATGGGAGTTCCTTTCACTTCTGTCATGTGTCTTAAGATGAAGTTTATGTCATAACTGAGGTTATGGAAATATATTAAACTCTTGTCAGGAAGTCTTTCCAAAAATTCTGTTGCACAGTTTTGACCCCAAATGCTTTCACTAACTGAACCATCTTCACTGTCATAACAGATGTTAAAAGCTTTATGAAAGCCATCCGTACTACACTCAAAGTCAGCAAAGAAAACGTGCTCAGGAATGAATTTACATTTAGCTTTATTTACTTCTTTTGACTCTGCTTTCTTCTTCAGTTGTACACAATACTTTGGAGCATATGTCAAATCTTTAAATGGTGCAAGGTTCTGTTTATATAAGTCAGTAGTATATGTGAAAAGTTCTCCATAAGAAATAGGTTCGAAATATTTGCACTCCCACAATGTTTTCATAACATCCCATAACGGTGTTGTTCTATCATAACGAACTACATATTTATCTTCTCTCTTTGTATAAATCTTCATCTGTTTCTCAATGTTCATTCCACCACACTCCTTCAAGATTTCTATATAGTTGCGAATGAAGTATGTTGTCATTGGAAGTCTTTCATTTAGCATGTAGTGGTCTTCAACAAGAAGTAAGTCAATAGTTCTAACAGTTTCGCATTCTTTTGGTATATATCTCTTTATTTCATTATGTCTTGACTCATTGAAATAACCAATGGTAACATTAAATGCTATACCTGTTGCGTCAGAAATTTCTTGTACTTTACTTTGAGGAAAGTCTCTAACACGAATGACTTCTCTCATGTGGTCAATAGTTTCTTCATTTACTCCAGCCTGAATGCAAGCATAAACGAAACAATTGTCCTCTGTCATAAGTGTTGCAGTTCTTTTGTTCAGTTCATTGAAGATTTGGTAGCGTTCAAGATTTATAGGTAATGTGCAAAGATACTTCCATAACTGACCGCTTCTCTTCTTATAAAACTTCTTTTCACTATTATCTTTCCAAAAGCTTTCTATAAGTGCTGGGTTTCCTGTTTGCTTAAGAGCTTCCAAAATGGCTTTCTGGTCATTTGTCAGTGTGCTTTCATCTCTATATGGTCTCTTTTTTGGTTTGCCTTTCTTTACATCTGACATCGTTAAGCCTTCATATTCTGTTAAATCATACATCTTTATTTCAGTAAGATTCTTTATGTTTGTCAAGAAGAAGTCATAGTGCATTTCAACAATACCTGCAGCATTTGCTTCTATCTCTGATATAAAGTTCTCCTTCAAGAGCTGATGTAGTAATGTTCCAATATTATTGAGGTTTAACGTAGAACATTCATACTTTCCACCAAGTTTATAACATACCATCCATCTCTGTTGGGAGTTTATTTTAATTTTCTCTAAGAGTCTCATGAAAACCTTACCGAAATGTTTGTGTAAATATTCTCTGTTTGGTTCATCTAAAGCTTCGATGTTAAAGTCAATGAGTCTATTGCCTGACTTCACATTTCTCTTCCTATTCTCTTCATCTTTCTTTAACCATCTCTCACCTTCTTTTGGTTTGTCGTCAATGGAACGAATGACATCGTTAGCTTTGCGAACTTGTTCTATAGCACTTTTAAACATCTCTCTTCTCTGTTGTTTCAGTGTGTCATCTCTCTTTCGTGTTTCACCAACGTTTGCATTTGTTATGTCAAACATCTCTCTTCTTACTTCATGAGGTACTGAACGTCTATGATATAAGTCAATAGCAACGTCATTTAAAGGAAATGCTCTTGCATGGACTTCGTCCTCGCCGCGTTGCGGCTTTATGAACTCATGAATTCTATCATAACTTATTACACCATTATAGTCTTTAATGAAGTCAGCGAGTGCCTTTTTGTTTGTTGTGTAATGCTTTGCAACATCTATATTAGCTTCTGTAAGAAGTTGTTTTATTTCCGAGTGTTCTAACTTAGACAACTTCCGATACATCTTTAGTAGGAAATAAAAAATATTTTTTGAAAAAAATTAGCTTAGATTTTTTTTAAGTTATTTTTCAAAATAATTTAATATTTTTATTTTAATGAAACACATGCAAGATTGCAAGTTCTTTTCATACAATGCTCTCGCTAATGCCATCAAGAATGAGTTCAATGGTGCTTCAAATGTTAATGTTATCTTTAACAAGAAGTTTGTGAAAGAATCTAAGTTTGGTCAGTATGTCAGACCATTAGCTATCGTCATTGACCGCAAACGTTATACTTCACAAGAGTTAGCAGTAGTTTTGAAACAAAAGGGTTTCTTCGTGAATGTCAAAGATACTCATTATACTATTATAAAGAACTCCAACATTGACTTCTTCAGTATTGCTATGAATCTTTCCGAACAGAAAGAATATAAGAAGGGTGAAACAAATGTGAAATATTATCCTTCATCTCTGAAAACAATAACGAACAAAGATGTTATACAAAAGTTCTTACCAAAGGTTGAAGAAGCTTCTATTGACATTGACGAAGGAAGTGAAATGGTTGAAGAAATTGACCCTGAAGCTATTTAAGCAAAAATATATTTTTGGTGAAGAGGTGAGATGTCACCTGTTTTTTCACCTCATTCTCTCTTCGTTAATGTTGTCGTGACTTCTTCGTTAATGTTGTCGTGACTTCATTCTTCCTCTTTGAAGTTGTCGAAATACTCTGTTATTTTTTCCTTCAGTAATGTTAAGTCTTCTTTGAATGTAAGTATTGTGCAACCTTTGATGTCATAGTGTGTTTGAGGAAGAGTATTTTTGACAATTTCCTTTATTTGCTCATTCGGTGTCATTGAAATCGGTAAGTTTTCACGATAGAACCAGTTTCTGTCAGATTTGTAAATCTTAGCAAGGTCGTAAAAGCTTTTGTTGTTTCTTCTGACTAAATGCAACATAACCATATCTCTGTCTTCTTCATTTTCCATCTCTTCAGCGTAAATCATATACTTATAACTCTTTTCCTTTCCTTTTGGTACCGAACGTGGTATTCTTTTCTGTATGCTTTTGTCTTTGGATTCAATGACTTCATCTTTTGCTTGAAGTTTCTTTTCCATCTCTCCACGTTCTGCTTTATATAGTTCATCTAACATCATGAAAATATAACAAGCATAACGAGGTGAAGCCCACATTGCTACAGCATTTACTAAAAGTCTATGAACATAATAACCTTTCAAACCAGGAGCCAAATTCTTGCGATTTTCGTACGGAATCTCTTCCCTCGGTTTTCCGAGGGAAGCAATCATATAAGGAAATTCTTCTAAAAGTTCTTTTGCCTGTTGGTTTTCAAACCAATGATATGCTTGCTTTGTAGAACGAAGAGCGTTCATTATACTTTGCATTTGATACATATCATCTTTGACAGAACGAATGAGACGTAACTGTTTGTTATATTGTATGTATTCGTATTCTTCATTTATGGCTTCATGAACGATAGCAATTGTTGTGTTCTCTAATGTTGACATTACTGTTCTTACATACAGGATAAAAAAAATATTTTATAAAAAATTAGCGTTATTTTCTGACTTTCACAAAAGACCAAAAATAAACGCTTTACATGTATTTTTCAGCAACTTCGTCAAATAATTTTATAGCTTTATCTATCTCATCTACTTCAAACGTTTCTTTACCTTTTATGGGAGCACCATACATTTTCTCAAACTTTTCAAGTAGTTCTGTTTCAGCAGCTCTCATATCATTAACGAACACAACCTTGACTCTATTGATTGTACTGTCATATCTTTGAGTTATATTATATGTTCTTCCTATCTTATATCTCTTTGTATTGAAGTCCTTCGGTTTCTGAACGATGTAAAGTAAGCCTTCACTGCAACGTTCCGTATCGAATGAACCATAAGTTATGAAGTTATATCCAACAACTGGGTCAATCCATAACAAAACTATTGGTATAAGACTTTTGTCGATGAGATATGCTGTAGTTCCATAGAATCTTACTGATATCATAAGCTCAGGATTTCTTGTCAAAATTTTCTGAGTTGAAGCATTTCTAACCCAGTCGTGTGTTTTCTTTCCAGATGGAAATATAATGTCTGACAAAGAATATTTGTTGTATTTCTTTGAGTATCTTACGTTTAAATCACCTATTCTAACCACTTTGGTGTCATTGTCTATCTTTCTAACTGTTTCAAACTCAATGTTTGTCATTTCTGTTCTTACATACAAAATAAAAAAATAAATAAAAATAATGTTAGTTTTATTTTTGGTCTTTTGTGAAAATTCATGATTTTTGTTGCTGAATTCAGCAAAAATAATGTTTAGGGTAGATGGTTAGATCTAACCTCATTTCTACCCTCATTTCTACCCCAGTTATTTTATAAACGTTTCACATGATATACGTTATGAATTCGTGAGACTCTAAACAGTTTTGTAGCTTCTATTTCTTCGCTGAGGATATCAAAAATTTTAACGATACCGAAAGTTTCTTTATACTTCTTCTTGACATCAGATAGAAGGAAATCGTCAGCAGTTGGATAGTTTTTGTTCAGAAATTCTAACATGTCCATTTTATCTTCTGCTGGTTTCTCTGCCTCCCTCTTTAAATCTGCATAGTCGTTTCTCATACGTTCTATCTCTTTTACTGAATAGTTATATTTCCTAATTGCTGCTTTACATTTAGAACATTGCGGATTCATTTTTGCGTTATATTCTGAAACCTTACCTGCTAAAACAACTAAGGCGTCAATGGTTTTCTTTAAATCTGAAGCAGTTGGTTTTATCTGTTCATGCCATACCTTACCTCTTCTATCTTTATCTCTTATCTGCCATACACATTCAGCAACTAACGAAACAAAGTTGTCGTAGGTCTTAAATTCTTCAGATTTATATATGTCAGAGATGTTCTTATATACCATGTCGCAATCTTTGTCCATAACTTTATGGTTGCAATGAAAACCAAGGAATTCATAATTTACTTTACGTATGAATTTCTTTATTTCTACTGAGTCAGTTGCTTTAACTTCAATTTCATCGAATTCAGGAATAGTTAGTTTTTGCTGCTGAACTTCCGGTAATTTAGGCAAATGGTCTATGATATCTTGCATTTCATATAGCTCCTCTCCATTTGTTTCATCTTTCGCACTACAGTCTAAATTACTTGTTAAAAGTTCTTGCTTTATTCTTTGTATTTCTGTTTCAAAAGTATATGAAGAAGGAATGAAGTTTTTCATCTCTACCAACATTGACGTAGGATTCATAACTAGCGAGTTTGGTGCCGTGCATGCTGTCGAAAGTGCTGATGTTTCGATTGTTGAAATCATATCTTTACATACAAAATAAAAAAATAAATAAAAATAAAACTAACTTTATTTTTTCTATCTTAAGGAAATTCATGAAAATTCAAGACCCTTTGGGTCTCGCCGCTTAGCGGCTGAGGGTAGAAATGAGGGTAGAAATGAGGTTAGATCTAACCATCTACCCTAAACATTATTTTTGCTGAATTCAGCAACAAAATGAACGAGGTCAGGATGTATGTAAATACCTTTGAATTCATTTATAACGCCCTTAGTAAGCTCATAAAATGCTTGTTTTGAGGTGGAGCCAAAAGTGGCTCGACCGTATTCTTTCAACCAAAACTCAAGAATTAATCCCGTCAAATACAAAAAATGAGGGTAGAAATGAGGGTAGAAATGAGGTTAGATCTAACCATCTACCCTAAACATTATTTTTGGTCATGGACTATGCCCCGCCGCTTCGGTCTGAAAGACCTTCAGGACTCAAAGAGTCCGTTTGCGTCTTTATGTTAAAATAAATGGTACCATTAATAATTCCATGATTGTTCTCATTCATGTCTGATTTACATCCAACGAAAAAGTTTAGAAGAATTTTCTTATTCTTTCTGGCATGTTTTTATCTTTCCAGTACTCCCGCTCTAATGGTCCCAGATGTGTTGGTTTAGATTCTCTCAAGTTCTTAGATGGTATAACATCTTCAACGCCTCCTTCATATCTTACTTTATAAGTGTCATCGTTTATGTTGTAGTCAAGTATTTCAATAACCACTCCTCGCTTTGCTTCGTCAATGGTTTCAGCAAGTTTGCCATTACTACTTTCGACTAATTTATGTCGAGGATAAAACGCAATAGAGTCGTCAGCAGCTTTTATAAGATATCCATTACCTTGCGTAGAGTCTACGATATAATAGTTTCTACTTAACCTTAAACGTTTCTTTGTCAACGGTTTGTCGTCAAGAACTACACGAACTTTTGTACCAGGAATGAGGGTAAATTGTGTTGAATTTATGATATTTTGTGTTTGGCTTCGTTTCTTTTGTATATACTTTTCTTCTTGTTGTTGTGTCATTGAATTTGGTGTATGTCCTGTTGTAGAATGTGTTGAGGAATTATATACTTCGATGAAATGTTTCATTGTTTCTTCGGTAAAGTCTCGCTCTTGATTTAAATCTCTGAGAGTCCTTATGAAGCGGTTAATGATACCGAGTATGTTATGGTTATGGTCTTCAGTAGTGTAGTGAGTTATGTTATGCTTAATGAGAAATTCTGTGATTTCGTTGCTGAGGTATGCACTGTCTTGGTCTGATGTTAAAATACTTGGGCTATGTTCTGCTACAAACTTTTGTAAAACTCTTAACACTTCATGAGTTCCTTTATTTCTCATTATATACGCAAAAGCTTTACGAGTGTTAACATTTATGAAGATGAGGAATGGTTTATGTCCTCCTTTTCTGCTTTGAATGAGAGTGTCAAATTGGTATGCGTCAGGAGTGTTGGAGTAAATTGGTAAAAAGTAGTCGTAAGGATTTATTTTTGTTTGATGTACAACATTTTTGTCAAAGAACCTTTTCACTTCAGCTCTGTTAGTAAATCCCCGACTCTTTGCAGCTTCATTGAACTTCTTAAATGACCTCCATGGATGTTGTTCGAATACTTCTTTCAAGCTCATTTATGTAAAGTTAAAGATTTTAACCAACTCGTATCCAAGCGTGCATTGTTATATAAGGAGGCATATAATCTTTTCCATTACCTGCTGGGTCTGTAATACCAGCTACAACATGTGTATGATTTCCTGCAGTTCCACAGAAAATACCTGTGCTTGAATCTACTGGGTCAGTTGAAATATCATATCTATGCATTCCCTGTCTATCCGAACCCGCTGCAAGATTTGTATAACCTCTTTTTGTTATTGAATGTGAATGGTTTCCTTCCACAGATGTTCTTCCACTGAACCTATGCATATGTGAAGGAAGGTTTTCAATACCTATTTTCTTTGAACCTCCCATCTTCATTGACTGCGTATTAGTGTAGAATGGAAAACTGTCAACTATTTCATACCATCTACCACCAAATAAAGTGTTTGGATTTATTGGATTCATAGACGTATAAACAGCTCCTATAGGATATATTAAATCATATATGCTCATAGCTCTATAAACATATTCTAAAGAACTTATGTCATTAAATACCATTTGGAATGTATCTCCCGGATGAAATGTTGCATTTGTTCCACTTTTATAATGTAATGTTAGTTCAATAGAATTATCCAAGAAAAATTCAAAAGTATCTGGTTGAAGACCTCTAACAAATTCAAATGGAGTTGCTGGTTCACCATTTATAATTTCTGTTGTAAATGTCATTGTATCTGGTTTCGAAAATTTCTTTGTTAGTTCTGCATCCACATAAGTTTTGTCAGCTTTCTTATCTAACATTGCTGGTAGTTCATATGCTTCAAAGTTTCTGGCATGATCTTCGGTATTCCTGCAACTCTTATCTAAATTGTTAAGAGTATCTTTTACGCTTGTACTTGGATTTTCTAATGGTGCACTTGAACCCAAATCAAAGTTCAATATTATGTCGTCTGCTCTAACAGTAGTGAAGGATTTATGTGTATGATTTTTGTCGGCTTTCTTATCATATAAATCTTGAGCAGTGAATTTAACATTATGTTCATCCTCCATGACATAAACATCTTTACATCTAATGTTTCTCATCGTCGTTATGTCGTCATCCGATGTTAAACCTTGTGGAAAGTTAGGAGGTTTACAATATAATGCATCCCCACCAGTTTCTTCAACCGTTCCTTCAATACTTTCTATACCAACAGTTGTAAAACTTGTATGTGTATGGTTCTTGTCTGCTTTCTTATCTAACATTGCTGGTAGTTCATGTGTTTCAAAGTTTCTGGCATGACCTTCAATGTTCATACATTTACTATTTAAGGAGTTTAGTGTATCTTTTACGCTTGTGCTTGGATTCTCTAAAGGTGCACTTGAACCAAGGGTATAGTTCAATATTATGTCGTCTGCTCTAACAGTAGTGAAGGATTTATGTGTATGGTTCTTGTCAGCTTTACTGTCTAAAGAAGTTTGAAGTTCATTTATATCGGAGATATTGTGTTTATGAGATTTCAAAACTTTGTTCATTGCTTCGAGTTCAACTTTGTCAGCTTTACTTTTAATAGCATCTTCAAACGTTATTTTTGACTTAACTCTCAAAGTAAATCTTGGTTCAACTAATACACCATTAACAGAGAAAGTAGAGGCATAAATTTCATCGTTATAACTAAATGCTTCTAGCGCTTTACCTGTGTCATACTGTACAGTACAGCTTATGTCATAACCTTTAGCACGAATGTATTTATATCTTCTTTCATTAACATTTTTTGTCTTCGTTTCATCACTTCGTGTTAAATATCCATGGTAGTCCGTTATAATCTGTTCGTCTGAAGTTATATAATGAACGTGGTTTTTATCTGCTTTTTCGGCTAATTTCTCTTCTATCTCATTTATTTCAAGTTCAACTCTTCCGCCAGAACTCTTATTATCATTTATTTTCTTCATTAATTCCGTAATTACATCATAAAGACTATATTCTGTTTTCGGTTTTGTAAATAATGAGTCAAAATTTCTTTTCATCATTACATCGCTTACATTAATGATATCAGCTATACCTTTTTCATTTATTCTCTTCATTAGTTCTGCAATAATGACGAATATATAATCTGTTAATTTATTCTCTTCATCGAGGGTTATAGAATGTTTTGAAATTGAATCATTAACTCCTCTAAATAAATCAATAACTTCAGGATACACGTTTTTAATGTCTTGAATAACCCGACCAGTATCCTCTGGTTTCTTCTCTTCTTCATGTTCTTCGTTCCCGTCGTTACGTGGTTTTATATCTCTAACCATCATCAACGCAGCCATAACCGGAGGGTTTGTTGCTACCTGTTCGAAAATCCGTCCGTTATGTACGGTATATCTAAATAATTTCTTTGTGTTTGTTAAAACATTTGAAACAAGTCTTTTAAAACCATCTACAAAATTTCCTGTTTCACCTAATGTTCTTGCAGCATTTACAAGCTCACCCATTCCCGCTTTTGACCCCAAAAACGTCCATATTGCATTTATTTCACTCTGTATAGTTGTCCATTCAGCGAAACTAACACCCGCATTCGCTAAGCTGAAAATGAAATTCAGTGGATCGAACTTAATTCCACCTTCTTTTTCAATTTCAACGAACTCACTAACATGAGATTTTAAGTATTCTTTCGTTAAAATTGTTTTCCCCGATGTTATGTCATTAACGAAACTATCACCGTCAAAAGTTAACGAATTCAATTTCGTCGTTGATGCTTTTATTTCATACACCGCTTTATCGATAGTTTTTGGCTCACCTTCTTTAGAAGCATATGAAACATTAATGAATGAATTATATGTATTCGTGAATGAGTTAAAATCAATGATTTTCATTAATGACGCCTTTAATGATTCATTAACTGTTGAATCCCTTAAAACAATTAATGAACTGTCATGGGCTTCGCCCTGGTCGCTTCGGTCTGAAAGACCTTCAGGACTCAAAGAGTCCGTTTGCGACTTTATGAAAGGTACACTGCAAACTGTCGAGTTTGGATCAAATGCTGTAGTTGGTGCAGGAATATTAATGATATAAGTCATTAAATCATTAAGTGACGTAAATAATGTTGTCGTTTTTGATTTAATTTCTTTAGCATCTGTTATATACGGTAATTTTATTTCTGTAGTTTCTGAATTAAAGATATTCGCTAAAATGTTTTGTAAACTGTTTTGAACAGCTGTGTAAACCGTTGAATTCGGAACTCTTACGATTTCACCGTCCTTAATAAAAGGCATTGTACATGGCGTAGTGCTTGGGTCAAATCTTTCGGGATTATAATTCAACATATATTCTAACGCTTCATGAACAGACTTATATACTGTTGTGTCGTTCTTCATGACAACTTCACCATTTACAATGAATGGCATAGTACATGGAGTTAAAATAGGG